AGGCACCTGGTGCTTGGTTAGAGTTTGGTTTTTGTTTCAAATTCTTTATTGTGATTAAGTGATTACATAATTTCCCAAATTTCACAGTATTGTGGGATAGTGACGCTTAGTTAAAATCACAAACACATTCTAACTTTTCATGGGGCAAATTGTCTATCGTGGTCTGTAACATTTATGAGTTCTATGAGCTTTGTGGTTAGTTTTTTTTTTTTTCCCGGTCCGGTCGTGGGGCCTGAACTCTGGGCCTGAGCACTGTCCCTCAGCTCTTCAGCTCAAGGCTAGCGCTCTACCACTTGAGCCACAGCACCACTTCCGGCTTTTTTCTTTTTGCTTATGTGGTGCTGAGGAATCGAACCCAGGGCCTCAGGCTTGCAAGGCAAGCACTCTACCACTGAGCCACCTTCCCAGCCCCTGTGGTTAAGAGTTTTTATAGGAAGTAAATCTGCAAATACTGTCACATGAGTGTGGGCACATTTGCTTTTCTCAGCTAGGTGCAATGGCTAGGCTGTTAGGTTCCTTGTCCTTGCTTCATTTCTTACAGTCCACTGGAGATCAGGCATTAGAAATTCTACAGTTCCTGTTTTCCAATGACCTGGATGTACCTGTGGGCCACATCGTGCATACTGGCATGCTTAATGAGGGTGGAGGGTATGAAAATGACTGCAGCATTGCACGCTTGAACAAGCGCAGGTGAGATCAGCTACTAATTTCTGAAAAGTCTTTTTTTGTTGTTACTGGGGATTGAACTAAGGGCTTGCCAAGCTTTATACTCCTTGAACCATGTCCCTAGTGGTCCTGAGAGAGCACCTATTGTACTTTTCTAAGTCAGTTATCCCAAGGACTGACTTACTAGACAGCTCTCCTAGACTTATTGGACAGCTTATTAGCAGCCTCTAAAAGAAGTCAGTGGAGCTCTTAGGAGAGTAAGAAATCCAATAGATTATGTCAAATTTAGTATAGAAGCTTTCCTACAGGGAGAGGATTCCCTATTTTATAGGTCTGTATAATTTCTTGGCACTAATAGGAAGCCAGAATTATGTTTTGTCATTATATGGTAAATCCTAGAACAGTGGTGTTGATCCTCCAAAAAGTTGAGATATCCCAGTATTTTCAATGAGCTTTGAAATTAGTTTAGTGCCTGAGTGCTTCCTGATTCTTTCCTGTTACCTGGTTTTATTTTTGTATCTCTCTTCTAGTTTCTTCATGATCTCTCCAACTGATCAGCAAGTCCACTGTTGGTCCTGGCTTAAGAAATACATGCCAAAAGACAGCAACCTGCTGTTAGAGGATGTCACCTGGAAATACACTGGTAAAGGGGCTATCTGGGGTCAGCCCAAGTTAGAAAAGACTAGCAGATAAACACTTGTTTTCTACATTTGCCTTTTTTGGCTTAAAAAAAAATGAACGTGTTTGTAAAGAGGCTTTTTGGTTGCTTTTTAATTGTGAAACTAGTGCTTCAGTTTTAATTTATTACTATATGCCTTCAGCTAGTATGGGAGGGTACAAAAAATACTTTTTTGTGTGCCAGTCCTTGGGCTTCAACTCAGTGTCTAGGCACTATCTTTGAGCTCTTTTGCTCAAAGTTAATGCTCTACTACTTGAGCCAGAGCTCTATGTCCAGATTTTTGATGGCTAATTGGAGGTAAGAGGCTTATAGATTTTTCCTGCCTTGGCTAACTCTGACCCACGATCCTTAGATCTCAACCTCTTTTTTTTTTTT